TGAAGGTTACACTAAAACAATATTCAACCTGAGAGCAGGTAGAGTGAAGGTTACACTAAAACAATATTCAACCTGAGAGCAGGTAGAGTGAAGGTTACACTAAAACAATATTAAACCTGAGAGCAGGTAGAGTGAAGGTTACACTAAAACAATATTAAACCTGAGAGCAGGTAGAGTGAAGGTTACACTAAAACAATATTAAACCTGAGAGCAGGTAGAGTGAAGGTTACACTAAAACAATATTAAACCTGAGAGCAGGTAGAGTGAAGGTTACACTAAAACAATATTAAACCTGAGAGCAGGTAGAGTGAAGGTTACACTAAAACAATATTAAACCTGAGAGCAGGTAGAGTGAAGGTTACACTAAAACAATATTAAACCTGAGAGCAGGTAGAGTGAAGGTTACACTAAAACAATATTAAACCTGAGAGCAGGTAGAGTGAAGGTTACACTAAAACAATATTAAACCTGAGAGCAGGTAGAGTGAAGGTTACACTAAAACAATATTAAACCTGAGAGCAGGTAGAGTGAAGGTTACACTAAAACAATATTAAACCTGAGAGCAGGTAGAGTGAAGGTTACACTAAAACAATATTAAACCTGAGAGCAGGTAGAGTGAAGGTTACACTAAAACAATATTAAACCTGAGAGCAGGTAGAGTGAAGGTTACACTAAAACAATATTAAACCTGAGAGCAGGTAGAGTGAAGGTTACACTAAAACAATATTCAACCTGAGAGCAGGTAGAGTGAAGGTTACACTAAAACAATATTCAACCTGAGAGCAGGTAGAGTGAAGGTTACACTAAAACAATATTAAACCTGAGAGCAGGTAGAGTGAAGGTTACACTAAAACAATATTAAACCTGAGAGCAGGTAGAGTGAAGGTTACACTAAAACAATATTAAACCTGAGAGCAGGTAGAGTGAAGGTTACACTAAAACAATATTCAACCTGAGAGCAGGTAGAGTGAAGGTTACACTAAAACAATATTAAACCTGAGAGCAGGTAGAGTGAAGGTTACACTAAAACAATATTAAACCTGAGAGCAGGTAGAGTGAAGGTTACACTAAAACAATATTAAACCTGAGAGCAGGTAGAGTGAAGGTTACACTAAAACAATATTAAACCTGAGAGCAGGTAGAGTGAAGGTTACACTAAAACAATATTCAACCTGAGAGCAGGTAGAGTGAAGGTTACACTAAAACAATATTAAACCTGAGAGCAGGTAGAGTGAAGGTTACACTAAAACAATATTAAACCTGAGAGCAGGTAGAGTGAAGGTTACACTAAAACAATATTCAACCTGAGAGCAGGTAGAGTGAAGGTTACACTAAAACAATATTAAACCTGAGAGCAGGTAGAGTGAAGGTTACACTAAAACAATATTAAACCTGAGAGCAGGTAGAGTGAAGGTTACACTAAAACAATATTCAACCTGAGAGCAGGTAGAGTGAAGGTTACACTAAAACAATATTCAACCTGAGAGCAGGTAGAGTGAAGGTTACACTAAAACAATATTAAACCTGAGAGCAGGTAGAGTGAAGGTTACACTAAAACAATATTAAACCTGAGAGCAGGTAGAGTGAAGGTTACACTAAAACAATATTCAACCTGAGAGCAGGTAGAGTGAAGGTTACACTAAAACAATATTCAACCTGAGAGCAGGTAGAGTGAAGGTTACACTAAAACAATATTAAACCTGAGAGCAGGTAGAGTGAAGGTTACACTAAAACAATATTAAACCTGAGAGCAGGTAGAGTGAAGGTTACACTAAAACAATATTAAACCTGAGAGCAGGTAGAGTGAAGGTTACACTAAAACAATATTCAACCTGAGAGCAGGTAGAGTGAAGGTTACACTAAAACAATATTCAACCTGAGAGCAGGTAGAGTGAAGGTTACACTAAAACAATATTAAACCTGAGAGCAGGTAGAGTGAAGGTTACACTAAAACAATATTAAACCTGAGAGCAGGTAGAGTGAAGGTTACACTAAAACAATATTCAACCTGAGAGCAGGTAGAGTGAAGGTTACACTAAAACAATATTAAACCTGAGAGCAGGTAGAGTGAAGGTTACACTAAAACAATATTCAACCTGAGAGCAGGTAGAGTGAAGGTTACACTAAAACAATATTAAACCTGAGAGCAGGTAGAGTGAAGGTTACACTAAAACAATATTCAACCTGAGAGCAGGTAGAGTGAAGGTTACACTAAAACAATATTAAACCTGAGAGCAGGTAGAGTGAAGGTTACACTAAAACAATATTAAACCTGAGAGCAGGTAGAGTGAAGGTTACACTAAAACAATATTAAACCTGAGAGCAGGTAGAGTGAAGGTTACACTAAAACAATATTCAACCTGAGAGCAGGTAGAGTGAAGGTTACACTAAAACAATATTAAACCTGAGAGCAGGTAGAGTGAAGGTTACACTAAAACAATATTAAACCTGAGAGCAGGTAGAGTGAAGGTTACACTAAAACAATATTAAACCTGAGAGCAGGTAGAGTGAAGGTTACACTAAAACAATATTCAACCTGAGAGCAGGTAGAGTGAAGGTTACACTAAAACAATATTCAACCTGAGAGCAGGTAGAGTGAAGGTTACACTAAAACAATATTAAACCTGAGAGCAGGTAGAGTGAAGGTTACACTAAAACAATATTAAACCTGAGAGCAGGTAGAGTGAAGGTTACACTAAAACAATATTCAACCTGAGAGCAGGTAGAGTGAAGGTTACACTAAAACAATATTAAACCTGAGAGCAGGTAGAGTGAAGGTTACACTAAAACAATATTAAACCTGAGAGCAGGTAGAGTGAAGGTTACACTAAAACAATATTAAACCTGAGAGCAGGTAGAGTGAAGGTTACACTAAAACAATATTCAACCTGAGAGCAGGTAGAGTGAAGGTTACACTAAAACAATATTAAACCTGAGAGCAGGTAGAGTGAAGGTTACACTAAAACAATATTAAACCTGAGAGCAGGTAGAGTGAAGGTTACACTAAAACAATATTAAACCTGAGAGCAGGTAGAGTGAAGGTTACACTAAAACAATATTAAACCTGAGAGCAGGTAGAGTGAAGGTTACACTAAAACAATATTAAACCTGAGAGCAGGTAGAGTGAAGGTTACACTAAAACAATATTAAACCTGAGAGCAGGTAGAGTGAAGGTTACACTAAAACAATATTAAACCTGAGAGCAGGTAGAGTGAAGGTTACACTAAAACAATATTCAACCTGAGAGCAGGTAGAGTGAAGGTTACACTAAAACAATATTCAACCTGAGAGCAGGTAGAGTGAAGGTTACACTAAAACAATATTCAACCTGAGAGCAGGTAGAGTGAAGGTTACACTAAAACAATATTAAACCTGAGAGCAGGTAGAGTGAAGGTTACACTAAAACAATATTAAACCTGAGAGCAGGTAGAGTGAAGGTTACACTACAACAATATTAAACCTGAGAGCAGGTAGAGTGAAGGTTACACTAAAACAATATTAAACCTGAGAGCAGGTAGAGTGAAGGTTACACTAAAACAATATTAAACCTGAGAGCAGGTAGAGTGAAGGTTACACTACAACAATATTAAACCTGAGAGCAGGTAGAGTGAAGGTTACACTAAAACAATATTAAACCTGAGAGCAGGTAGAGTGAAGGTTACACTAAAACAACATTAAACCTGAGAGCAGGTAGAGTGAAGGTTACACTAAAACAATATTAAACCTGAGAGCAGGTAGAGTGAAGGTTACACTAAAACAATATTAAACCTGAGAGCAGGTAGAGTGAAGGTTACACTAAAACAATATTAAACCTGAGAGCAGGTAGAGTGAAGGTTACACTACAACAATATTAAACCTGAGAGCAGGTAGAGTGAAGGTTACACTAAAACAATATTAAACCTGAGAGCAGGTAGAGTGAAGGTTACACTAAAACAATATTAAACCTGAGAGCAGGTAGAGTGAAGGTTACACTAAAACAATATTAAACCTGAGAGCAGGTAGAGTGAAGGTTACACTAAAACAATATTAAACCTGAGAGCAGGTAGAGTGAAGGTTACACTACAACAATATTAAACCTGAGAGCAGGTAGAGTGAAGGTTACACTAAAACAATATTAAACCTGAGAGCAGGTAGAGTGAAGGTTACACTAAAACAATATTAAACCTGAGAGCAGGTAGAGTGAAGGTTACACTAAAACAATATTAAACCTGAGAGCAGGTAGAGTGAAGGTTACACTACAACAATATTCAACCTGAGAGCAGGTAGAGTGAAGGTTACACTACAACAATATTAAACCTGAGAGCAGGTAGAGTGAAGGTTACACTACAACAATATTAAACCTGAGAGCAGGTAGAGTGAAGGTTACACTAAAACAATATTAAACCTGAGAGCAGGTAGAGTGAAGGTTACACTACAACAATATTAAACCTGAGAGCAGGTAGAGTGAAGGTTACACTACAACAATATTAAACCTGAGAGCAGGTAGAGTGAAGGTTACACTAAAACAATATTAAACCTGAGAGCAGGTAGAGTGAAGGTTACACTACAACAATATTAAACCTGAGAGCAGGTAGAGTGAAGGTTACATTAAAACAATATTAAACCTGAGAGCAGGTAGAGTGAAGGTTACACTAAAACAATATTCAACCTGAGAGCAGGTAGAGTGAAGGTTACACTACAACAATATTAAACCTGAGAGCAGGTAGAGTGAAGGTTACACTAAAACAATATTAAACCTGAGAACAGGTAGAGTGAAGGTTACACTACAACAATATTAAACCTGAGAGCAGGTAGAGTGAAGGTTACACTAAAACAATATTAAACCTGAGAGCAGGTAGAGTGAAGGTTACACTACAACAATATTAAACCTGAGAGCAGGTAGAGTGAAGGTTACACTAAAACAATATTCAACCTGAGAGCAGGTAGAGTGAAGGTTACACTAAAACAATATTCAACCTGAGAGCAGGTAGAGTGAAGGTTACACTAAAACAATATTAAACCTGAGAACAGGTAGAGTGAAGGTTACACAAGCAGTCCTGGTCACAGTTAGGCCCAGTGTAACCTAGATCACACTCACACAGGTTGTACTCGCTACACTTGCCGTGTTTGCAGGTGGAACTCGTGTCACACCTGCGGTGGTAACAGTTTTATCGAGCCATGTATTTACAATTGAAATAGGGTCATTATATCGGGCATTGTTTTTAGAAGTGTCACTGATAATAACTTGGGTATTTTACCCCTTTTACAAATTAATATTTGCTTGATTTTCGCTGAACTTGACAAACAGTGTTTAGTTGTACCACAAGTCACTAAAAATCTCAAACTAACTAACTTCAACCGACAATCTCCTCCCAACTCACTTGGACTCACAGACCCCATCGTGGTCCTGATAACCCAGTTTACACTGACAAGTAAACCCGTCCTCTGTATCTATACACTCGGCGTTGTCATGGCAGTGGTGGAGTCCCAGGGCACACTCGTTAACTGCTGGACACTCCTGGTAGTACCAGCTCAGCGAGCAGTAACCCTCCTCAAAGTTACCCTGACAGAGCATGTTAGTGTGCTTCTAGATTCAAAGTTACCCTGACAGAGCATGTTAGTGTGCTTCTAGATTCAAAGTTACCCTGACAGAGCATGTTAGTGTGCTTCTAGATTCAAAGTTACCCTGACAGAGCATGTTAGTGTGCTTCTAGATTCAAAGTTACCCTGACAGAGCATGTTAGTGTGCTTCTAGATTCAAAGTTACCCTGACAGAGCATGTTAGTGTGCTTCTAGATTCAAAGTTACCCTGACAGAGCATGTTAGTGTGCTTCTAGATTCAAAGTTACCCTGACAGAGCATGTTAGTGTGCTTCTAGATTCAAAGTTACCCTGACAGAGCATGTTAGTGTGCTTCTAGATTCAAAGTTACCCTGACAGAGCATGTTAGTGTGCTTCTAGATTCAAAGTTACCCTGACAGAGCATGTTAGTGTGCTTCTAGATTCAAAGTTACCCCGACAGAGCATGTTAGTGTGCTTCTAGATTCAAAGTTACCCTGACAGAGCATGTTAGTGTGCTTCTAGATTCAAAGTTACCCTGACAGAGCATGTTAGTGTGCTTCTAGATTCAAAGTTACCCTGACAGAGCATGTTAGTGTGCTTCTAGATTCAAAGTTACCCTGACAGAGCATGTTAGTGTGCTTCTAGATTCAAAGTTACCCTGACAAATCATGTTAGTGTGCTTCTAGATTCAAAGTTACCCTGACAGAGCATGTTAGTGTGCTTCTAGATTCAAAGTTACCCTGACAGAGCATGTTAGTGTGCTTCTAGATTCAAAGTTACCCTGACAGAGCATGTTAGTGTGCTTCTAGATTCAAAGTTACCCTGACAGAGCATGTTAGTGTGCTTCTAGATTCAAAGTTACCCTGACAGAGCAGGTTAGTGTGCTTCTAGATTCAAAGTTACCCTGACAGAGCATGTTAGTGTGCTTCTAGATTCAAAGTTACCCTGACAGAGCATGTTAGTGTGCTTCTAGATTCAAAGTTACCCAGACAGAGCATGTTAGTGTGCTTCTAGATTCAAAGTTACCCTGACAGAGCATGTTAGTGTGCTTCTAGATTCAAAGTTACCCTGACAGAGCAGGTTAGTGTGCTTCTAGATTCAAAGTTACCCTGACAGAGCATGTTAGTGTGCTTCTAGATTCAAAGTTACCCTGACAGAGCATGTTAGTGTGCTTCTAGATTCAAAGTTACCCTGACAGAGCATGTTAGTGTGATTCTAGATTCAAAGTTACCCTGACACAGCATGTTAGTGTGCTTCTAGATTCAAAGTTACCCTGACACAGCATGTTAGTGTGCTTCTAGATTCAAAGTTACCCTGACAGAGCATGTTAGTGTGCTTCTAGATTCAAAGTTACCCTGACAGAGCATGTTAGTGTGCTTCTAGATTCAAAGTTACCCTGACAGAGCATGTTAGTGTGCTTCTAGATTCAAAGTTACCCCGACAGAGCATGTTAGTGTGCTTCTAGATTCAAAGTTACCCTGACAGAGCATGTTAGTGTGCTTCTAGATTCAAAGTTACCCTGACAGAGCATGTTAGTGTGCTTCTAGATTCAAAGTTACCCTGACAGAGCATGTTAGTGTGCTTCTAGATTCAAAGTTACCCTGACACAGCATGTTAGACGTTAGTGTGCTTCTAGATTCAAAGTTACCCTGACAGAGCATGCTAGTGTGCTTCTAGATTCAAAGTTACCCTGACAGAGCATGTTAGTGTGCTTCTAGATTCCCTGACAGAGCATGTTAGTGTGCTTCTAGATTCAAAGTTACCCTGACAGAGCATGTTAGTGTGCTTCTAGATTCAAAGTTACCCTGACAGAGCATGTTAGTGTGCTTCTAGATTCAAAGTTACCCTGACAGAGCAGGTTAGTGTGCTTCTAGATTGTATCTTAGAGGTGGTAAATTTGGGTAGACAACACAGAATTGAAAGACGGATAAGCTTGTAAACATTCCTCCTGAACAAATACCTGGGTGAGGTTGAGACTGCAGAGTGACTGCAGACCTACCTTAATACAAGTACCGGAGTGACGTGAGGTTGAGACTCCAGACCTACCTTAATACAAATACCTGGGTGAGGTTGAGACTCCAGACCTACCTTAATACAAGTACCGGAGTGAGGTTGAGACTCCAGTCCGCACCACCCACACCCGCGCACACTCTGACACTCTCTGCACGTGCGGTACATCTCGCACTCGTCACAGTGGGACGATCCACCCCTGAAACAAGTTCCGTGAGATTTAATATTAATTGATAAAATCCCTATTTTATTATACTAGATTCGTCTTTATTTCGTCTTTATTTCTGAAGCAGACTGATATGGTAGATAAGCTTCCAAAAATCCAAAACTAATAATAATTAATCAATACCCAAATATTAACATATTATCTACATTAATTCACAAGATATTGTGTTAAAGCACACAAAAGGACTCAGACTCACGGGGTAACAAATCCGTTGTACCACACGGAGCACTCCCCAAACGGGTAGAGAGCCACCTGTACGTTTATGGAGAAACACCGTCCCAGCGCCTTGCACCAAACACAGTCGTCCAGCCTGGGGTCACGTGATTATTTAGAGTCACGTGATTAGTAAGGGTCACGTGGTTTGTTAGGGTCGCGTGATTAGTTCAAATAATTTAGATATTTGGTGGGTAGAGATTTTATGACACAACTCTAATATACTATTATATTGCCAGGCAAACCTTCCGGTTTTTAAAAAGATAGAGATTAATGTTGGTATTGAAACATAATTAAACTGCTATAATCACTGATTAGTACCGAAATAACTTTATAACTAGGAATCACTAAGTTACTAAATGTGTCAGGAAAATGAACTGACTCAGTGCAGGAGTAGCAGGAAGACTGTCGAGAGCAGGTATCCGGGCAGCGGTATCTCGATCTGATCGCTTCCTCGTATCTCCCACGTCTGTGGCATCTGAAGTTAAGCCACTCACAGTTACCGTCCTGAGGGAGGGGTAGTGTCTTATCTGGCAAAACTGTGGTTAATTAAAACTGTGGTTAACTAAAACTGTGGTTAACTAAAACTGTGGTGAATTAAAACTGCGAATAACTAAAACTGCAGTTAAATAAAACTGTGGTAAACTAAAACTATGGTTAACTAAAACTGTGGTTAACTAATTACTAAAACTGTGATTAACTAAAACTGTGGTTTAAAAACTGTGGTAAACTAAAACTGTGGTTAACTAAAACTGCAGTTAAATAAAACTGTGGCAAACTAAAACTTTGGTTAATTAAAACTGTGGTTAACTAAAACTGTGGTTAACTAAAACTGTGGTTAAATAAAACTGTGGTTAACTAAAACTGTGGTTAACTAAAACTGCAGTTAAATGAAACTGTGGTAAACTAAAACTGTGGTTAGTTAAAACTGTGGTAAACTAAAACTCACTCCAGCACAAGCAGAACAAGTGATACGTTCGTCACACTTGGTACAGGAATCAAAGTCAGTTATCAGGTACCCTGCTCTGAACTTCTGATTGGTGGAGAAGGTGTGCACTGATCTTAGCTGGCATCTGGGAGGAAGGAGGGTGTTACATGCCACATACCAAAGCTTTCGACTAGTGGGTTTATAGTATATTATGTACGGATACTTCTAGTTAGAGTAACCAGGGCCAGGGTTTGAGAATTATACCGTATACGTCGAAGTGTCACTAACCGTGCTAAAGAAGAGTGATGACGTCACTAACCATGATATAGAAGAAAGATGACGTCACTAACCGTGATAAAGAAGAGTGATGACGTCACTAACCGTGATATAGAAGAGTGATGACGTCACTAACCGTGATATAGAAGAAAGATGACGTCACTAACCGTGATAAAGAAATAAGAAGAGTGATGACGTCACTAACCGTGATATAGAAGAGTGATGACGTCACTAACCGTGATATAGAAGAAAGATGACGTCACTAACCGTGATAAAGAAGAGTGATGACGTCACTAACCGTGATAAAGAAGAGTGATGACGTCACTAACCGTGATATAGAAGAGTGATGACGTCACTAACCGTGATAAAGAAGAGTGATGACGTCACTAACCGTGATATAGAAGAGTGATGACGTCACTAACCGTGATATAGAAGAGTGATGACGTCACTAACCGTAATATAGAAGAGTGATGACGTCACTAACCGTGATATAGAAGAGTTCCAGCCACACAGTTGATCAGTAAGACACCCCAGACAGGTTCCAAAGTGAGTACAGGAACCGTTCCTGTAGGGCACTAACACGTCCTGATAATGTATACCGTTACTGTGAGATACCTTCAGTTTTACTGTCATTTAGAGATGGCCACTAGAATTGAACAATAAGAGAGTAAAATCACATCCAGTAAACGAGGTAACGGGGGAAAACAAAGGGTTATCTTGTTATTCTGTCCATCACGCAATGACGTTATAAACCGACGGATAACGTCACGTGACCTCCTTATGACGTCACGTGACCTCCTAATGACGTCACATGACAGTGTACCTCGTTGAGTATCTCCTCGGAGTGGTAGTCAGATCCCCCACCGTCCCACATGATCGTCATGTTACTCCTCTGTTGCTGATCATTAATGTACTGACTTAACACTGCTTTTATGTATACCTGGTGTGAAACAATATTACCATTGTAAGAAGGAGGGGGCGGGGCGGCGAAGGGGGGGGGGGGGGGGGGGGGGGGGGGGGGGGGGGGGAGACATAACATTCCTTATGATATTAATCATCTTATTTTCATCATTACATCCCCCCATCATTAATCTGCAGTTTGATTTCAATAGACCATTTTACATACATAACTTTATCATAATACGACCAAACTATTCACTAAAACGACTTGACAAATATAAAGAAATAATAATAAAAGAAATTTTAATCTTAAATATGTAGAAAGAATAAAAAAGCGACTCGACAATCTTCTCGACAATAATGTCACTAAAAATTCACTAAAAAAGTTCTCACAATTTTGTATCTAGGCAGCGAGTAACGGTTCTCCTTTTGTATCTTCCGGCTGGCATTCCTGAACACTAACTCTGCGTCACGTGACGTCCTGCCCACGTGCAGATCAACTAAGCCGTCCGTGTACTGGACTCGTAGATTGTACTGCGGAATTTGGGGGAGGGATAGTTATTAGGCCAATAATTAAATACTTGAACAAACTGTTTGTTTTAATTGTCACATAGGTTTATTGAAATATCGTGACAAAAAGTGGCAAAATGTACTACAAGAACTCAAGAACTGTGCGAAGAAAATATCAATGCAGTGATCATAGTTCAAATAATTGACAATCATATTCTAGACTAAAAGTGTAAACTGAAGGTTAAAACACTAAAAACCCATTCTACGCAACTAAACTCCAGAGAGATCTCCTCTCTGTGGGGTGGTCACACAATGTGATGGCTTTGTTAAGTTGTTAAAGCTTAACAAATCTCAACATAGGTGACATAGGTGGATAAACTGTAAGATATTAGATAAACCTTGTTGGAATATTCCCTGTGCGTGCTGTTGATGTAGCCCCGGAGGTGTCCGTAGTATCTCTTATCTTCCCCCGTATCTCTTGTATGTGTCTGGTATTGTGAAATAATGGTCACGTGATCTAATTACTTACTCTCAAATTGGGTCTTATTTAAAAGCCTGAATATCAACCTTAAATCAGCACGTCCTCGCTTATTTTCTTTGTCGCACTCACGCAGTAGCAATCTCAAACTATTATCAACTTTAAATATTATTGAACTTAGGGAAAAGTAACCAATGTTAAAGATCATTACATGTTTGGAGTAGAGCAGGTCGACACGTGCTGACTTGACAATAGACACGTGATCAGGGAGGTCCCAGTTAACCGGGTCCACTACTTTCACCCAGTGTAGTCCTGGAGGCATATCGTCTGTCTGGGAGGATCTTAATTAGTCAGTTAATTACTAATTAGTCAATAAGGTGATTAGATAATTGGTCAGTAATTAAACCGGGGTTCAGGGGACAGTGTTTACCTGGCACTGTATAGGTGAAGTTAGCAGGGTTCCCTCAGGACCCCACCATGGTTCTGGAGATTGTACTCCACAATAGTCGCCACTGTTCCGGGATCTACAGTTTCCGTCTTGTACACACCTGTTATTATTAGAAAGTGAATATAAATAAAATCTAAAATAAATAATATTAAGGTTTTAATAATTGACGGTCGGAGGGAAAGAAAACGCAAAGATATCAAATTTAATCCAAATAATGACATAGATAAGGTGACCTTTGGAAAATCTAATTAGTCGCTGCCCCCGCTAATTGTTGCATCATTGACTCTTATAGACGCCAACTCCTCACCAGTATAAACAAATAAACAAAATATAAGTATCCTAATAAATCCTGTACGCCGTGATGATATGATAGATTTTAGGAAGTATTGTGTGATATTAATACCAGTTAGTTATATTTCTACGTAATGGAAGTGGAAAACCGAGTTCCGGTCGGCGGGTCCGATAGGGCGGGTCAGACAGCACCTGGGGGAGTGACAAATGCACCACCTCAGAGGGAACAGCTGTGAAACACTGGAGCTAGAATTAAGGGCTGTCAAACACAATGATGCTAAATTAACATAATATAATGATGATAGATTAACACAGCGTGATAGAGAGGAACAATAACTAGTCAACGGAGTGCGAAGGTAGCAGGTGAGAGGTCTAAAACAACGGACAGGACATTATTTATAGCTGGGAGCTGGAGCTGGGCAAAGAGAGTTTCTAGTTTGTTCTATCGAAGGACGGTTGGTGGCGGACGACTAAGGAACCTGTTACTCTGGTTGAGTTCTGGTTGGCCTGGAGAGTTGTCGATAGTTGACATAATGTTATTGGTCACGGCACATTTAAGTTAGGAGTTTCAGCGGGACATAATGCAGGTGTAACTGTAATTGTAGACAAGCATTGACGGAGTTTCAGCGGGACATAATGCAGGTGTAACTGTAACTGTAGACAAGCATTGACGGCACATTTAAGTTAGGAGTTTCAGCGGGACATAATGCAGGTGTAACTGTAATTGTAGACAAGCATTGACGGAGTTTCAGCGGGACATAATGCAGGTGTAACTGTAACTGTAGACAAGCATTGACGGCACATTTAAGTTAGGAGTTTCAGCGGGACATAATGCAGGTGTAACTGTAATTGTAGACAAGCATTGACGGAGTTTCAGCGGGACATAATGCAGGTGTAACTGTAACTGTAGACAAGCATTGACGGCACATTTAAGTTAGGAGTTTCAGCGGGACATGATGCAGGTGTAACTGTAATTGTAGACAAGCATTGACGGAGTTTCAGCGGGACATGATGCAGGTGTAACTGTAATTGTAGACAAGCATTGACGGCACATTTAAGTTAGGAGTTTCAGCGGGACATGATGCAGGTGTAACTGTAATTGTAGACAAGCATTGACGGAGTTTCAGCGGGACATGATGCAGGTGTAACTGTAATTGTAGACAAGCATTGACATTTAAATTAGGAGTTTCAGCGGGACATGATGCAGGTGTAATTGTAGACAAGCATTGACGGCCGACTTTATTATAGTGTGTCTGAATAAAGTAGGTTTGTACTGATTGTATTTCATATAATAATGTTAGTTATATCGTCTTAGAACACGTTTATTAATTGTTAGGCCCTGAACGTCAGTGTCTAATAATCGCCACTGTTGGTATCAATTAAGCAGGAATACCCACTGCTAACAAGCCACGTACCACTCACAACCAGCTAGTGCACACTCGGTGCACCTTGTTAGTCTGTAGCACACACTGCACTGGTTCATCTGCTGACGGCATCTCTTGACTGGTCGGCACTTCTTGCCGCACCGTACGCAGTGCTGTAACGCGTTACACTCGTCATATGCGGCACTGCTTACTTCACCTCCCTGTAGGTAGTAATGCGTCAACAATTATAGAATTATACGGTAGCTGTGTTGTGAACTTTACTATAAAATTAAAATGTCTTAAATGAAACTGTTAATTACATCGCATTTAATCTCATCAGTTCGTCGGACGTAGGACAGATAAATCAAAAATCCTACGTCATAATAGTGCCCAATTAATAGCCGAATAAAGGCAGAATCTAATGGAATTGTAACATTCACGTCAGAACGAACCACTGTTTTAAAGTTTTAACACACCTTTTTATCCTTGTTCGGAATGGAAGAGCAATCCTCCCTGGGCGGATAATATAACAGCACATCGTTCATGGGCTGTCCGTTAAACCCCCCTACAACAACCATACTGTCTCTGTATCTAGCTGCCGCGTGCGCGTATCTCAAGCTGGCTGTCACGTGGCTCTCGTCTTTGGGGAGCGGGGACACCCAGTCCATGCAACCCAGGTCGAAAACTATAGTGTCCGGGTTAAAACACTGCTCGACATTCTGGTTTTCTTTGTTGCCACCTGACAAAGGGAAGTTTAGGTTAGAGTTAACGAAATAAATAACGATACAATTAATGAAACAACAATGTCCTCTCGGTGCAATCCATTTGTCAAGGTTGGTTAAATATTTATTTGGAAATTGGATTATGGATGGAATTAGTACGATGATTTTGGTCCATCGTTTAGAGAAATAGTAAACAGAGTTAGAATTAACCAGATTCTTAGTTGTCACATTGACTTACCGAATACAACCATAAATCTGCCCAGTTTGACTGCTGTGTGAAAAACAATACCAGGAATTTGGGTAGTGATTTTAAGCTTCGACCATACCTGCAAGGGGTAATACAGTTATTAATATATCAAGCTATAATCAACAAATGTATTAGAACTTGAAGAAGTTATTTCCAATTTGCTATGCCAATTGGTTAAAACACTGTTCCACAGTAGGCTTTACTTTGGGTAAATTGGCAACTGTTATTTTTTTATTTTTTTATTATATCAGGGCATTATCGACAAATTACACCCGAAGATATTGTTTAAACTACCTAGGAAGGGAGCACCCAATTTTTTCCTCAAAATTAATTTAATCTTTAAAAAAATGAGAACTGCTAATCGGTAATACGTAAAGCTACTAATCATTGTTCCTGTCACAACCCGTGAATCCATGATAGAGGCTGTAACAATGCAGTCTGAAGCTCCACGATGGTCCGTGCACCCTGCTTATCTCCCCATAAACCCTGTAAACCGTCCCAACTAACAAGCTATTCACTAGAACATCCCCTGTCTGTGAAGCTCTCTGCATCCAGAAAGCAGCTACTCTTCCTTATATGGGCATCACGTGGCTACGCTTGCCCTACTGCTCCTTGTATCGGGGGTTGTCTGGACACAAGAACCCTTACCAGGCTGATAATAACATGCGGGCAGATGTAGACAGGGCTGTTGTCTGGAGATATAGGTAGTATGTCTTCAGTCACACTTGTCAGAACCGCCCCTCAGGAGCTTATTTAATATCAGCATCAGACCAAAGGTCAGATCAGTGCTCAGTGGTTTGTTTTTCGAGAGCTCCATTGAGGTATGGAGCCGTTAGTTTTATTTCTCAGTTCTTCTATATGGACTGAGTGCGTGGAACTTTTTTGTCTAAAATTTGGAGGTTATTTTCTTTTCGGACACATTTAAATTATATTAGATCAAGGCGAACTAAATAGTTGTTAGGGCCACGCTTTTTTAACTCGTACGTTTTTATCTGTAGATCTGTGTAGTATTTGTTTAATAAGTTCATGAAAACTTTTGTTATCTATTTCGTTACACGATGTAACATTTAAACGGAAGTAGTTTTTTCTCAAGCCCATTGAGAGTCATATTTACTGTCTAAGCGCAGTAACAATAGGTTTTTGAATAATAATATAAGAATTTGTTTATTCCACGCCAGCAATCATTCGTCGATAATGCCCATTTTACAAGCTTATATAAGTCACCTTGTTCTTTATACTGAAGAGTAAAACATCCGAACTCTTGTCGTAGCGTACATGAGGTATTGGAACAAAACCTGTGTGAGAAACAAGGTTAGTACTTTAGTAGTAGTGTGAGAAACAGTGTTAGTACTTTAGTAGTATCCAGCATATCCACCTGTTTGAGAGGGTTAGTACTTTAGTAGTATTCAGCATATCCATATTCCATATCCGGCCCCAATTGTAATGATATCATGGTCCCACCGCTGTGTTCCGGGTTATCCGACATAAAGTTTACAAATGTTAGCATTGATCATATGCTCTAACAAAATATAAGCTCACCTCCGAACACGACAATACTTCCTGAGTCCTCATCATACACAGCAGAGTGACCGTACCGTCTTATCTCAGAACACTTGTAGATAGTGGGGGTCACCAGACCCCATACAGGACTCCGGGAGGATAGGTCCATGGTGTGAAGTGAGCAGGAATAGTGGTCCGTGTCTCCGCCAGTAAGACCTGTCAAGTGATTAGATTATTATATATTAGCTGATTAGTAATAAATAGGAGATCGTAAATTTATCGGTAAATTTAAAAAACATACTGAATATTTTGGATTACCGCCCCAAAAAATTTAACAAAGAATGTTAATTGTAACCCGCCCTATGATGAATGTAACCCGCCCTATGATGAATGTACTACGGCAGACTTTTCTAAAAATACATTTCGTTATCCGTATATTTGATTACAATTAAACGACTAAAAACCTTATGAGACCCGAGAACACTTTTCAGGTGGTCAAAATGAATATTATTCAAGTAATAAAAACAAATTTAAAAATGTTATATGGGTCAATCAATAATATTATCATGTGATTATGACTGATTTCAACACATGATAATATTTCAAAAACGTAATTATTAATAAACAATTAATAAGATCGTAGAAAATACTCAAACCAAATTATAAATTATTTAATAGTAATCTTAAACCAGGATCATGTTTTTGCAACTCCTATCAGCCCTGCTAGCCCTCCATTGCACCATCCCCACTATATCGGCTTCAGAGGGATCCTCAGCAAAGGCACTGCAGTTCGGTACCACCTTTGGTGACTACGTAAAGTTTTTCCCTGATATGAGCCAGGTCAAAGACTCCCTAACGGTGTGTTCATGGGTAAAGAAACAGCTGACTGGCCCCTACAGATCCTGGTTTAGCTACAAAACGTCCACACACGAGATCCTAATATCAGATGCTGGTTACTACAACTACATTCACAACAGCGGCAATTACCAGTCAAGTGCTATTACTGTAACAGTACCTCTTGATACGTGGAGTCATCAATGTCAAAGCTGGTCAACAAGCACTGGGACAATGAAGACATACTATAATGGTACTCTCATAGGGTCTAAAAGTATTTCCTCAGCTCCATTAAAAGAGGGGGTGTCATTACTCTGGGACACAATGCTGCAGCGTAGAACAAGTAGAAGTATTCGGTGGGCAGCTGATGAAACTAGATATCTTCGGAAAAGTGCTCAGTTCAGAAGAAATTGCAGATATATACAACGCTGGGAGATGTTCCGATGTAGAAAAGAAGCACCAGGAAGTCAGGTTCATCACCTGGGAGAGCATCCTGAGTCAGGACAAAACTGGTAATGTCACAGAAGTGGACTCTGGGTGTCCTGCTGAAGAAGAAGAGGAGGAAGAAGAGGAAGAAAAAGAAGTTTGAGTGTCACAGTATTTGGGACATACTCTATGATCAGACCTACTTCAACCAAACACTCGCCGCCGAGAAACTGACCGAGCTAAATGCTAACTGGAACATGTTGGGTAAGTAGATAATTACCATGAGTAGGTTAAGTTCATGTCTTATTATTTTTAGAGATTTTCCTTCGTTCTGGTTAGACTACGACTGGATACTGGTGCAGGGGAGGTTAGCCGTATTTGTTGTGACACGTGATAAAGAGTCTTGTTTGATTGGCCAATTATACTGGAAGCTGACTGGTTAATTACTGGCACGTGTCATAGTAAATAGAGTTCAAATCCGGTCTTCCTGACCGTGTCTAGATATATTGAACGCGAACAATTTTTCTTGTACCCTAGAAATAAACTAATAATAAGTTTACTTGCAGATTATTTCGTCGGCACACCGATCACGGAGAATATCATAGCTTATTTTAAGGCTTACCATCCTATGCCGGCAGAGAAAGATGACAGCAGCTAGAGGAAAGAAATCAAGGGGAAGATTAACTCATCGGTACGTTGATTTTAATAACAGCACAATAACTTATTATTAACTAGGTTTGCTGATTAGACATTTTAAGATTATTAATTACTATCAATATTATTGGTTATCCCTCCGTCTCCGGCCGGTAAAATGTATGATATTACTAATCAACTTCTCTTCAGGTCCTACTACAAAGTACACTGTTCTCCTTACAGCTGCTTGGTTACTAATTTGGAGACGAGGATCTAATTTTTCTGATACGTATCATGGGATTAGTCTGATGTCAGAGCTTTTGTTGCCTTAATGTTGCCTTAATGTTGCCTTAATGTTGTCTTAATGTTGTCTTATCGTTTGTTGTCTTATTGGTGTTTGTTGCGTTAACGTTGGCTTAATGTTGTCTTATTGTTGTCTTAATATTGTCTTATTGTTGTCTTAATGTTGTCTTAATGTCCCATCGGTGATTGTTCAAGTGGCCGAGCTTTTTGAACCCATTTCCATTATAACAGTAACCCGTTTTAGAACATTCTTAATAATTATCATTAGAATAGTTATACTGACCCTATATTTTTGAACAATAATTTTACTATCAATTATTGGCATTTTGATGTCAGGAATTTGTTTTACCAACCGATTGTCATTGCAGTAACTAATTTTAGAACATTTTGAACATCAATTTATTGACCCCTATAATACTATTCAGTTGAGTGCCATTTTAGAACATTTTTGATACGTAATTATTTTAATAATGACTCTTATTTGATTTAGAGCTAATTTTAGCTAATACTAGTATCTACTATCAACGTATCATAAATATAAAATAAAGATACGTTTTTAAAAATTTGAATCTTAGTCTTACATTTAAAGTATGGTTAGTGAATTTATTTACGATCTATTTACGATAATAATTATTTACGATAATTTATTACGATAATAATATGTTATAGGGAACTTAGAGATTTTTCAACATGAATGCTTTCATCAATTGTGATTTGAAACGATTTAAATTTTATTCGAAATCGTATCTTTTATTGGTTCAAATATATAACTGGGTTAAATGGGGGTCAGAAATGAGATTGGTGGCAGATAATTCAACTTTATCTCGGAAAAAAATATTTGTGCGGCCAACACTAGCTTCCAGCATTATATTTGGAAATAATGTAATATTATGTGTTCTACAAGGGAAGGTGTCCCAAAAAGTGATCAGTTTTAATAACTCGGAAACAGTTATGAAATAATTATGACAGGGTTACGACATGCAGTCGAATCCCTATGCCACAACCAAAAACCAAATCGTATTTACATATTTAACAACCATGCCATAACTGTGTCACAACATGGTTATGAAATGGTTAAATAAAGTTTACCCAGCCAAGAGGGAGACATCTTCAACATTTGAATTTAAAAGTTTAAATGTTATTATTGAATGGAAAAAATACTACAATTCTGTTGGATTTGTCCAAATAAATGCTAAGATTACTTTTACTTCTTTTCTCTTGAACAGACAGGAATTAAGTGACACGATATTGTGAGAACAAAACGTTAATATAACCCTAACCATAATAACGTAATTGACAATAATCTTTGATGAATCCCCCTCCCCCTTTTTCAACAACGCCCAAAAGGCAAAAACTTCAAGACCCCCCTGCCCCACAGCAATTTTGAACAAACCTCCGAAAAGGTAAACGTTGCCAGCTGGCACCACAGTGGTTGTGTGCCCGGTAACCGGTACTGGAAGAGACGGGTACTGGTACCAGCACGAGTCTGACGTGTTGTACAGCCAACAGTCGCCTCCGATAGTCGTTGTGCTCTGATGTATAATTGTAGACAATTTTTTCGATTATTTTTCTTAATTATATCTAGCCATAAATAATAATGGAGACCGTGTACACTGCACAGCATAATTTTGTTTAAAAATCTGACTGTAATAAAAATGTGCGCTATTTCAGTATTGCTTAGACAATTCGAATAATTCACCTTGAAGAATCCGCCACAATACAGGATACTATCACCAAACACCGCAGAACTGTGCATATAGCGTCCTGAGGTTAAAATAGTGTTATTTCGAATAAAATCAAGTTTCACGTCTTTTATTAAAACAACAAAGAATTTATCTTTTTTAAAAATAATAAGTGTACCAACTAGCGGGGTACACTTAGTTTTCTTGTTGAGAAGTTTTCTTGTTGCTTTTAAAAAATAGTCACAAAATAATCTTGTTTTACTGTAATATCATAGTGCAACAGTAATGTAAAAGTAGTGCAACAGTAATGTAAAAGTAGTGCAACAGTAATGTAAAAGTAGTGCAACAGTAATGTAAAAGTAGTGCAACAGTAATGTAAAAGTAGTGCAACAGTAATGTAAAAGTAGTGCAACAGTAATGTAAAAGTAGTGCAACAGTAATGTAAAAGTAGCGCAACAGTAATGTAAAAGTAGTGCAACAGTAATGTAAAAGTAGCGCAACAGTAATGTAAAAGTAGCGCAACAGTAATGTAAAAGTAGTGCAACAGTAATGTAAAAGTAGCGCAACAGTAATGTAAAAGTAGTGCAACAGTAATGTAAAAGTAGTGCAACAGTAATGTAAAAGTAGTGCAACAGTAATGTAAAAGTAGCGCAACAGTAATGTAAAAGTAGTGCAACAGTAATGTAAAAGAAGTGCAACAGTAATGTAAAAGTAGCGCAACAGTAATGTAAAAGTAGTGCAACAGTAATGTAAAAGTAGCGCAACAGTAATGTAAAAGTAGCGCAACAGTAATGTAAAAGTAGCGCAACAGTAATGTAAAAGTAGTGCAACAGTAATGTAAAAGTAGCGCAACAGTAATGTAAAAGTAGTGCAACAGTAATGTAAAAGTAGTGCAACAGTAATGTAAAAGTAGTGCAACAGTAATGTAAAAGTAGTGCAACAGTAATGTAAAAGTAGCGCAACAGTAATGTAAAAGTAGTGCAACAGTAATGTAAAAGTAGTGCAACAGTAATGTAAAAGTAGCGCAACAGTAATGTAAAAGTAGTGCAACAGTAATGTAAAAGTAGCGCAACAGTAATGTAAAAGTAGTGCAACAGTAATGTAAAAGTAGTGCAACAGTAATGTAAAAGTAGTGCAACAGTAATGTAAAAGTAGCGCAACAGTAATGTAAAAGTAGTGCAACAGTAATGTAAAAGTAGCGCAACAGTAATGTAAAAGTAGTGCAACAGTAATGTAAAAGTAGTGCAACAGTAATGTAAAAGTAGCGCAACAGTAATGTAAAAGTAGTGCAACAGTAATGTAAAAGTAGCGCAACAGTAATGTAAAAGTAGTGCAACAGTAATGTAAAAGTAGTGCAACAGTAATGTAAAAGTAGTGCAACAGTAATGTAAAAGTAGCGCAACAGTAATGTAAAAGTAGCGCAACAGTAATGTAAAAGTAGTGCAACAGTAATGTAAAAGTAGTGCAACAGTAATGTAAAAGTAGTGCAACAGTAATGTAAAAGTAGTGCAACAGTAATGTAAAAGTAGTGCAACAGTAATGTAAAAGTAGTGCAACAGTAATGTAAAAGTAGTGCAACAGTAATGTAAAAGTAGCGCAACAGTAATGTAAAAGTAGTGCAACAGTAATGTAAAAGTAGCGCAACAGTAATGTAAAAGTAGTGCAACAGTAATGTAAAAGTAGTGCAACAGTAATGTAAAAGTAGTGCAACAGTAATGTAAAAGTAGCGCAACAGTAATGTAAAAGTAGTGCAACAGTAATGTAAAAGTAGTGCAACAGTAATGTAAAAGTAGCGCAACAGTAATGTAAAAGTAGTGCAACAGTAATGTAAAAGTAGCGCAACAGTAATGTAAAAGTAGTGCAACAGTAATGTAAAAGTAGTGCAACAGTAATGTAAAAGTAGCGCAACAGTAATGTAAAAGTAGCGCAACAGTAATGTAAAAGTAGTGCAACAGTAATGTAAAAGTAGTGCAACAGTAATGTAAAAGTAGTGCAACAGTAATGTAAAAGTAGCGCAACAGTAATGTAAAAGTAGTGCAACAGTAATGTAAAAGTAGCGCAACAGTAATGTAAAAGTAGTGCAACAGTAATGTAAAAGTAGTGCAACAGTAATGTAAAGTAGTGCAACAGTAATGTAAAAGTAGCGCAACAGTAATGTAAAAGTAGTGCAACAGTAATGTAAAAGTAGCGCAACAGTAATGTAAAAGTAGTGCAACAGTAATGTAAAAGTAGTGCAACAGTAATGTAAAAGTAGTGCAACAGTAATGTAAAAGTAGTGCAACAGTAATGTAAAAGTAGTGCAACAGTAATGTAAAAGTAGTGCAACAGTAATGTAAAAGTAGCGCAACAGTAATGTAAAAGTAGTGCAACAGTAATGTAAAAGTAGCGCAACAGTAATGTAAAAGTAGTGCAACAGTAATGTAAAAGTAGTGCAACAGTAATGTAAAAGTAGCGCAACAGTAATGTAAAAGTAGTGCAACAGTAATGTAAAAGTAGCGCAACAGTAATGTAAAAGTAGTGCAACAGTAATGTAAAAGTAGTGCAACAGTAATGTAAAAGTAGTGCAACAGTAATGTAAAAGTAGCGCAACAGTAATGTAAAAGTAGCGCAACAGTAATGTAAAAGTAGTGCAACAGTAATGTAAAAGTAGTGCAACAGTAATGTAAAAGTAGCGCAACAGTAATGTAAAAGTAGTGCAACAGTAATGTAAAAGTAGCGCAACAGTAATGTAAAAGTAGTGCAACAGTAATGTAAAAGTAGTGCAACAGTAATGTAAAAGTAGCGCAACAGTAATGTAAAAGTAGCGCAACAGTAATGTAAAAGTAGCGCAACAGTAATGTAAAAGTAGTGCAACAGTAATGTAAAAGTAGTGCAACAGTAATGTAAAAGTAGTGCAACAGTAATGTAAAAGTAGTGCAACAGTAATGTGAAAGTAGTGCAACAGTAATGTAAAAGTAGTGCAACAGTAATGTAAAAGTAGTGCAACAGTAATGTAAAAGTAGTGCAACAGTAATGTAAAAGTAGTGCAACAGTAATGTGAAAGTAGTGCAACAGAAAACAGAAATGTAAAAGTAGTGCAACAGTAATGTGAAAGTAGTGCAACAGTAATGTAAAAGTAGTGCAACAGTAATGTAAAAGTAGCGCAACAGTAATGTAAAAGTAGCGCAACAGTAATGTAAAAGTAGTGCAACAGTAATGTAAAAGTAGTGCAACAGTAATGTAAAAGTAGCGCAACAGTAATGTAAAAGTAGTGCAACAGTAATGTAAAAGTAGCGCAACAGTAATGTAAAAGTAGTGCAACAGTAATGTAAAAGTAGTGCAACAGTAATGTAAAAGTAGCGCAACAGTAATGTAAAAGTAGCGCAACAGTAATGTAAAAGTAGCGCAACAGTAATGTAAAAGTAGTGCAACAGTAATGTAAAAGTAGTGCAACAGTAATGTAAAAGTAGTGCAACAGTAATGTAAAAGTAGTGCAACAGTAATGTGAAAGTAGTGCAACAGTAATGTAAAAGTAGTGCAACAGTAATGTAAAAGTAGTGCAACAGTAATGTAAAAGTAGTGCAACAGTAATGTAAAAGTAGTGCAACAGTAATGTGAAAGTAGTGCAACAGAAAACAGAAATGTAAAAGTAGTGCAACAGTAATGTGAAAGTAGTGCAACAGTAATGTAAAAGTAGTGCAACAGTAATGTAAAAGTAGTGCAACAGTAATGTAAAAGTAGTGCAACAGTAATGTAAAATTAGTGCAACAGTAATGTAAAAGTAGCGCAACAGTAATGTAAAAGTAGTGCAACAGTAATGTAAAAGTAGCGCAACAGTAATGTAAAAGTAGTGCAACAGTAATGTAAAAGTAGCGCAACAGTAATGTAAAAGTAGCGCAACAGTAATGTAAAAGTAGTGCAACAGTAATGTAAAAGTAGCGCAACAGTAATGTAAAAGTAGCGCAACAGTAATGTAAAAGTAGTGCAACAGTAATGTAAAAGTAGTGCAACAGTAATGTAAAAGTAGTGCAACAGTAATGTAAAAGTAGTGCAACAGTAATGTGAAAGTAGTGCAACAGTAATGTAAAAGTAGTGCAACAGTAATGTAAAAGTAGTGCAACAGTAATGTAAAAGTAGTGCAACAGTAATGTAAAAGTAGTGCAACAGTAATGTGAAAGTAGTGCAACAGAAAACAGAAATGTAAAAGTAGTGCAACAGTAATGTGAAAGTAGTGCAACAGTAATGTAAAAGTAGTGCAACAGTAATGTAAAAGTAGTGCAACAGTAATGTAAAAGTAGTGCAACAGTAATGTAAAATTAGTGCAACAGTAATGTAAAAGTAGCGCAACAGTAATGTAAAAGTAGTGCAACAGTAATGTAAAAGTAGCGCAACAGTAATGTAAAAGTAGTGCAACAGTAATGTAAAAGTAGTGCAACAGTAATGTAAAAGTAGTGCAACAGTAATGTAAAGTAGCGCAACAGTAATGTAAAAGTTGTGTTTAAGTGAACACTTTGACTGGGGAGATAGTAATAGCATAATATGATTTATTGATAAAACATAATATTATAACTGTAATAAACACCTCCAGGAAGCGAGGAAGAGGCAGGACTAATCGGGACATCAGACCAGTCACCGGACACCACGTGCAGTCTCTTGAAGCTGTACAGGACCAGGTTTAGATCGTACCCTCCAAAAACGTACAGGTAGTCTCCGATAACATCAGCCGTGTGACCTTGTCTTGGTAACATTCTCTGCAACAAGTTGTGATCTATTTATTGTGCTAAGGGACCGTTTGAATAAGCGAGATTTTAACCTTTTGAGACCCTCACCTCCCCTTCCCTTGTCCGTAGGCCATTTTACACGTTATTAGGTGTAGAGATAACAAGCTTTTCCAAACCATCTCCACCCCTAGCTTACGTAATATGTGACCGATCACTCTGCCGTTTTCTGACAAAAGTGCTTAAATTTGAGGTTTTTAAACTCTTTTGTCAATTTCCCCACTAACGGTATAAATTTATAGAATGAAATTTTTCAAGGAATTAAACTAAACACAAAACATTCATGAGACACAGACAATAATTCTCAGTAAAACAATCTAATATACAGTAGAATAAATCCAAAGTAATTGCAAAAGCGCAGAGATTTAATGAAATAAAACCAACCTTGGCTTGATCCCAGCTGAGGATAGACTGTCTACTCTCTGGCTGTACTAAACTAAACCAACTATTGTAAGGGGGCTCCTCAGCTTTAGAGATCAACTTGATGTTGCACTTCCAGCCAAAATATCCTTCATTACACCTGTACAGATAGAAACATCATCATATTGAAATTTGAATTAGCAGAATAATGACCATACAAATATTCGAGTCCTATACTTGGAAAAGAGAGGACTCATGAAAATCAATCAGTCAAAAGGTAGTAATAAAATTTATAGAACACTTTCGGATTTCTGATTATAAAATTGAATGTTTGACAAGAGGTACCTTACAAGACATATTTATGTGGATCATAATTAGCGGGGATCGAAATTATGGGGGAACGAAAATATGGGGATTTTTTACAGAAATTCAGTAATTCAGTACGAAATTTCAGAAATTCAGTACGAAAATATGGGGATTTTTTCCCATTTTTTCCAAAAATCCCCGAATTTCGTACCATATAAATATGTTTCGTAAGGTATACCCAATAACGAATCCTTGGTCCAACAACTACAAACGAATGAAATAGCTAAAGTGAAGAACCTGCATTTGTTGAGAAGTGTATCCAGCTGGCCGTGTGACCCACAATCTAGTGCTCCCTTATCACACTTGTCTCCATACCAGCCAGCATTACATGTGCACTTGTTGGAGTTCGGATTACACCTAAGATGTTGGTTTTAAGGAACAGAGACGGTTATCTAAATAGTATGATATTATCATTCACATTCCTTGTACCTCAGCCATGAAATTTATTATGCTGTATAATATTATGGTAGGACTATAATATTATCTCAATACTGTTCCTACCTTCCATTGCTTCCAGTACAGTTGTTAGGACAGATAGTGACACTAAAAGTAGCTTTAAACCCCCTGAACACTCTATCTGCATCACTAGTCAAGTGTATGTACATTTGTCCTGAGGTGTTTAGTCAAAATCTACTGGGCTCACAAACACCTGTTCAAATTTCACACTTTTATCTAAAATATTGTCTCTCTGTTATATTATACCTATTTACAGTGCTGTAAAATTTACAAAATGTTCATAATATTTGAACAATTATTAAAAATGAACTATTTATTTGTCCTGCCAATTATAATGTTCAAACCTGTATCAGAGACAATGTCTTCCATGGAACGTAAATTTCCACTTATGGCAGCCAATTGTAATCTGTTATCCTGTAAATATGTACTGAATAGGGAAGCTAAAATAGCACAAATTAATATAACAATCTATGCTCACAAAAAGAGTGAAGCAACACACAGAAATGAAAAACCAGTCCAGGAAAAAAACAATTAACTGATATAAATTTAAGATACCTAGGCTCACAGACTTACCTCATCATTATTGTTGTATACTGACACGTAGTCATATAAGCACTCGGTTAGAAAGGCAGGAAACTTTAATTCTATGAACTTTCCACCAACAGGCACTGGAGTTAACTAAGGTTAAGATAATGCAATCTCAAAAAAATCAATTATTTGAATTAGCATAACAATCAGCGAATTTTGTATAGAGAAACAATTAATAATTGAGGGAAAGAGTGCAACAAATAAAAATTCTTTCAAACTTTCAAACCATTACCTTTTATCAGCCATTCATACTCTTGATTTTTCAGATATTTGTTCCCTGGATTACTAGTTATGTTTCCAGACCACTTGTCAAAAATGACTTTTCTTGGGCTTCCATCAAAAGAAATAACCAATGATAGCAAGACAGCAATCACCAAATATAATCTATCTACCATTGATGATGAAATAGAATATACTGTTCTGCAACTGACATTGCCTGATTAAATGTGGGACTTACAGGGTGTTTCAAAAATAATGTCCTGATTTTAAAAACCAATACATTTTTTTATAAAGGAGCAAAATGCCCATTATCGGTTGCCATTAGTTTATAAAGCTTACAAATTTAATTTGTTCCAGCGATTCAACTTTGTTAATTTTTTTTGGCTCTGTTCCAAAAAGTCGAATTTTGAGAAAAATACCATGATACCCGATCCCCATCCAAGCTGTGACTTTCTCTCTAGTGATAGGCGACTCAACTGTTGCATGGGGGTTCTCATCTGCCCAAAACCTACGATTTTGGCGATTGACATGACCGCTCAGATGAAAATGAGCCTCATCTGAAAAAATATCTGTTTCAAGAATTCTGAGTCAGATTCGATGTGATCAGCCATCATGCTGCCAAATTCGGTCCTTAATTGTTCTCTATTTTTTGGAGTTTGTGTCTGTTTGATTTGAATTTTTTAGGCAAACTTCTTCAGCTCTTTCCTCAAAATTCCCCAAACTGAAGTTGTCGATAACTTAAGCTCCCTACCAAGTGTTCTGGTTGACCTCCTTGGACTGTTCTCCAAATTTCTTTGCACCCTTTTGATATTCTTCTCAGAAAGAGCAGATTTCGGCCTACCCGTACGCGTGTTCTTTATCAGGGTACAATCAGTAAATTCAGTTTCTAGCTTCGTTACAAGACGTCGTATTGTCCTATCATCAAGTTTGCTGTAGCAAACGCCTAGCAATGGTCACTCTGCCTCCACAAATCCAATAAGTCCTCACAATATCAAGTTTTGTTTTTTTTTGTATAATGAGGTTGTTACTGCTGCTTGTGATGAACATACCAACTTGTCATTGAAAGATAAACTTTTAAATGATTTAAATAATAGTAATAATAATAATTTAAACTTATAGATTATAGTGGCACAGCAACTTAAAGTGCACAAGTGTGCCACAAAAACAAGTCAGGATACAAGAAAACCTGAAAAGCAATCCACATAATATATATAGGTTCCAAACCATGGAAAATTGATACTTGATACATTATATTACAAGGTAAAGGGTATGTGCACTTAACAGTAGAAACATTACAAAAATATTAGATTAATTAATATCATAAGCACTTTTTAAAAGAAAATTTTTCAGATACACTTTAAAAGAGTCCAGTGACATGCAATTCTTAATTCCAAGAGGCAGCTCATTCCATAATTTATTACTGTGATAATTTCAAAATAATCACAAAAAATTATGCAACTTTCCCCACTTCATATAACCACACCTGATTACTGATTCCCTGTGATATTTTTGCCTTCAGCAATAGTAGGGAAAAAATTAATATATATAAAATTATTCAAACAATATACACATAATAATATAGCAATGACCCTATATAAAATCAACCCTTCAAGAATTCAAAAAATTCCCTTAATAATTAAAAATTACCCTTGGCCTTGTGGCTCCAAGTTAAGATCTAGACTGTTTATATCAACAATGTTTTTTCTCGCACCTCTGTCTCCACGGAGAGAAATCACTGTTGTTCTGAGAATTTCAAAGCGAAGGCGCTTTCTTATGTATCCTACGGCGTCTGAGTATCTCTGGCCAGTGTGGTACTCCATCTTACTGGCCAGCTTCTTGACCAGTCTCTCAGCTTCACCACCCATTCCACCAGAAGTCGAGAACACTAAAGGTGTGAAGCTTCCTTTCTCCACTTCAAGAACCCTTGCATTGTAACATCGCTTTTTCTCATTTTCATGGGACAGGTACATTGCTGGTATCGGTTTGCATGCATTGGAGGGGGCTGGGGCATGAAATACCCTTACATCAAAAAATGCCCTCTCTGAAGCATTCCAAATCGATCTTGCAGAAATGTCCAGCCTGGCTTGGTCTCCTAGGACTGTTCCCCTTGGTAACTCTAGGCCATCAACTGGAAGAAGAACTGGCTCAGTCTGCACACCCTTGCATTTCACAGTTCTCATTAGTTCTGCAAAGGTGTCTCTCAGCGAGTTGTGGCGCAGTGACACATATCCACCAAGTTTGCAGATGAGCGCATGGTTTGCTGAGTATTTCTGGCCACACGTACATGTTTTAGGGCAGTCCTTCAAGTTCAGGTTGTATCTGAGAGCTATTGCATCTGAGAACTGTTGTTTATTCATCAGATATCCATACTCTTTTAAAGGTAGTGCTGTTAACCAAGCACTTGCCCCTTTCTCAGCCGCTAGTTGGAACATCAACTTTGCCAGTGGTGTTGACTCGAGCTCCTGGCGTATTTCTGCTTGTTTTTGTCGATAAAAGAGATTTCGTTCAGTCGTTATCTCAGTTTTCACTCCTTTACTGTGTCTCCAGTCCTCTGTGTAGTTGTCTATCTGCTCGAGAATAGCTTCTTTAAGGGGTTTTGTGGCTCTACATGAGAAATTGTACTCTCGGTCTGCCATTTCCATCATAACTGGTATACCCAATCCTCCATATCTTGGTGGTAGAGCCATTATGTTCCTTATTTCATCAGTGCAGCTAAACAGCCTGTTAATGATAGCTGGGATAAACTCATCACGTGTTACTTGTTCTAGAGGAGTGAGCCTATCTGCAACTCCTGGGGTAGTTCTGCACACATAGTTCCATCTTTTACTAAGCCCATACATGTATGCACTGTATGCTATTTGAGGTTCTCTTGATGCTATATCACTTAACTGTTTAAGATCACGACACCATTCTTGAACTTTTTCCTCAATGAAAGCCTCTTTTCCTTGGTCTGTTCCGATGAAGCTGCCCAGATATCGTCGACCAATGCTTGTCACATTGACATCTGGGAATAGGGTTCTTGCCTTCTCTTCGTGCTCAGGCTTGACTATCACCCATGTTTTAGAAGATTTAGGGTTGTATCCAAAGAGTGGTCCTTTAATAAAGAGGTTATCCCACCACTTCCTTATTTCCTCCAGTTTTCCCCCAGCAGCAGAGTCATCAGCATACCAGATCTGAGTCACCTTTCTCTCAATGTTTCCTGCATCAATTAATGGTATTGTACCACAGGCATAAAATCCCATGGCAGGTGGATCACCTTGTGTGGTCCCTTCTTCACTAAAAAGATGCTCATCTCCTCCTGCAATGAACAGTCTAGCAGGCATTCTGTAGGTGTTCATTGTAATGTAAGTAGCAACTTCTGGACAAACGATGTTCATGTTGTTGAGAGCAGCCTCTCGGTTCAGCAAGTTGAATGCATTCTCTGCATCCACTAAGATGATAGCTTCAGTTTCAGGGTCTTCAAAGCAGTCCCTTGCAGCATGGACTGCTGCTTCCACTCCTCCCTGAAGACCAGCACAAACTTGAATAGGAGCAGTGGCTCCAACCAGATCTTTCTGTAGGAGGGTCATTACTGTTTTCCCTATTATCCTTCTTAAGACTTCACCTATACCTACTGGCCTGACTCCAGGCTTTTTATCCAGGGGGACAAGTCGACATGCTGTCAATGAGGTCAACAGCGTTGGATCCAAATTCCGGACACATAGTTTCCTTGCTATCCCTGCTATGGCATTACATAGATCCTCACACTTCTTACCAAACTGTTTAGAACACAGTAGTCTCTTCCATGCATCCGCATCCATCCCTGAAGGCCCTGCAGCACCCTGTACTCTCTTTGCTGCTTGTCTTATCAATTCCCCGTCAATACTGTTGAATATAACCGGCTCTACCCTCCTCGCTGGTCCACTCAGACAGCTTCCCTTTGATGCAGGTGATGCCTTGGGATGCTTCTCTTTTAGCACTTTAATCACATCTGGAGTAGGTTCAAGAATCCTGGTGGCATTTTCACCAATCCACCGCATTGCTGCACTGACTTTTCCTTTCATCATGAGTCGAGTGAAGACTCTCTCAACATGGCCATGTTTATGCTTCCCCTTTCCCAATCTCCTCTGAATCTCCTGTCCTTCTCGCAGCAGCTCTTCTAGCTTACCTGCCTGCCACAAAACAAGTCTTCTCTTCAACACTTCAGTGTGTTCCTTTGCTTTGGACCTCTTTGAGGGTTTCTGCAACAGCAGTGATGGCATTATCATCAAAAGGGTGATGGTCACTGATTCCATAGCACTGCCTGATGTGAAATTGTTGGCCACTTTAGTCATTTCTTCGATGAATGCTTTTCCTGCCGCCCCTGAGGGAAGCAAAAATATGTTTCTTTTCCATTTAACTATAACACCATATATTTCCTCACATTTTGTCAGAACTTCCCAACTATTCCATGGTCCTAATTTCAATCGAGATGGATCACTTACATTTTCATGATCTGGAAAACAGCATTCCTTTGCCTCTTCTACCACAGTATCAGCGTCCTTTGATGTTGTTTTTAGGCATCTTGTACATAGATATTCATCATCGCTTTCACTCAGTTTCTTGTATTCTGTTTTACTGATCTTCAAGCAAGTCCTATGATGCCATGAGTAACATCTTTCGCACAGCAAGCCATCGTCATACTCAGTCACTTTAAGATCGCATATTGGACAAGTCTCGGTAAGTGTCCTCAAGTCCTTGATTGCTTGAGAGACAGTTTTATTTGTTTCTTCTGGGTCTGTACATTGATCTGGATTAGTAAGCTTACTAGAATCGGTATTTTTGTTCTCAACTGATTTAGATCTGGTTTTCATCATTTCCAACCCAAAAACGGGGACCACCACTGTTTTCCGAGTCGATTACCAGCAGGAGCTGTAGCTTACCGCTGACAGTCCCTACTGGATGCGGGTCTCCTTAACAGTAGTGGATCCGAATTTGGGATCTGATGGAGTAATCTCGACACCAGAGGGTTTTACAGAATATTTCGTCAAATTCCATCACTCGATTTAAATGAATGTATATTATATGAATGTATATTATATGAATGAATATTATATAAATGAATGTATATTATATTTGTGTTATATAGTAGGGAAAAATAGATTTTCCGAGATTTCAGATATGGGTCAAATTAGATGCCCTGAAAATTTTGTAAACTTTCAAAGAATTCCATCATAAAATAAGAGCATTTGAGTTAAGAATATATCAGTG